CACACACACACACACACACACACACAGTATTTAAAATATTTTTGAACCATAACTATTATTAATAATCCTGTGGATTTGTAACTCACAGGACAAAAGTCGAAATTCCGATTTCCACATTTCTGAAATTTCTCATGGATTAAACAAGAACAAGATTTAAAAACATTAAATTTTTAAGCATAAATGATGAAAAACACAGAAATATGCACCTCAGGTCAGTAACTATGTAGGAGCTCTGTTGTGTTAGTAGCGCCCTCTGCTGGAAACCACATGAACTACATGCTATCATTCATGCTATAAATGGTCCTCATGTCCGGTTATATAAATACACAATGTTCTGATGTCACACATTCAGGTTAAATAAAGTGTGCAGGGATACACATCTCATACTTCAGATGATGCACGCTCAATCATCAGGTAAGAAATTCTGTTCATCTGGACTTTAGAGATAATCTGCTGTGACAGAATAACTTTATTTACAGCACCTTTTAAAAACAGACGCACAGAACGAAGCTACAGATCAGGCCGAGAAATGAAATAACATTAAAGAGAAAACTAAAAAATAACCACAAACATACACAAGAGAACAGACGAGAAAACTGTGATGTTTCAGATTTAGAAATCTAATTGTGAAGAAGGTGAGACAGAAGTTCATGTGAAACATGTGACGCTTGTAAAATAAGCTGAACATCGTGTGTGTGTGTGTGTGTGTGTGTGTGTGACTTCCAACCGTTTCTAACAACATCCTGGTCATAAAATGGTCATCTCGCCCACACCCAATATATGGTTCACTTCCTGTATTGCTTCACCGTGCACAACACAGTGAAGCCACAAAAGGGCAGGAAGCCGACCACACAAGAAACAGAATCTTCATAAGCGATGTGTCTACGATAATCCTCCCCCAGCACAGAGTGGGTGGAGAGGGGGTCAGAGACAAAGATCCTATAGACTGAACTAAGAGTTTACACATTTAAGAAGCACAATGACAACATTCAACAATTAGACTTAACAACAACAAGTACAACACATTGTATAAGAAGTAAATAAACAAATGCAACTGATATTCAGTGCAGAAGTCCTGGTTCTAACATACAGTTATAAATAAGTGACTGCAACATCATTAGAAGCAGTCACACCGATGCAAAGAGCTGTTTTCACACTCCATGATGATAGTCTCAAACTTCTCCATCAGAACCAGCTCTGATCATTTCAGCTTCTTCTGTGGATCCTCACAGGAAACAAGAATATTTAAAGGATTTTTTCCTTTTGCTTTGCTGCTTTGGGGACAAACACATATAGACACTCAGATAAGAAGGAACCAGCCCAAACAGAGATTTATAGATAAAAATAAACCAACGGGAAAGTCTGCAGATATACAGAGATGGATACTTGGCAGCAGCAGAGAAGAGCCTTCAATTGATCCAAAATGCTGCAGCAAGAGTCCTGACAGGGACCAGAAAGAGCAGATTTCTCCTGTACTGGCTTTTCTTTGTTGGCTCAAAAGCGTGTCGGCCTATTTCTAGAACATAACTCCTGTGATAAACGAGGAACCGCTGTATAAAAGAAATAGAAAGAAGTCCTGCCGTTAATTAAT